GTTTTACTAGCGGTATTCAATTCGCTTTGGACGAGAGGTGAATTCCCAGCTTCCTGGCGAGAAGCTACTGTCGTGCCTCTCTTGAAGCCAGGAAAATGTGGGCTAAATCCCTTACATTATAGACCCATTTCTCTTACGTCATCGCTCTGTAAGTTGATGGAGAAGATGGTTAATGTCCGTTTAACCTGGTTTTTGGAGTATAACGGTATTTTTACAAACGCACAGTGTGGTTTTAGAAGGAATCGCAGTACGGTGGATAATCTTGTAGTTCTTGACACTGCGATTCGTGAGGGATTCAAAGCAAATCGACACACTGGCGCTGTCTTCTTTAATATAGAGGGCGCCTATGACACAACATGGCGTCATGGTATTCTTGTCAAGCTATATAAGTATGGTATACGCGGCAATGTGGGCACTTTCCTTCAAAACTTTTTAGTTGACCGTTATTTCCGTGTCCGTGGTGGGAGCGCGCTCTCTGAGAGGCACCATCAAGTTAATGGTGTGCCGCAAGGTGGTGTCCTGAGCGTATCACCGTTCGCCGTTATGATAAACGATATCGGGGTTGGGCTGCCACATTCTGTAGGTCGTGCGCTTTTTGTTGACGACTTTACCATCTGGACTAGCGCAGCAAGAGCTTCATCAATGGAGCGCCATCTTCAGTTGGCTGTGGATCGTATCGAGAAGTGGGGCACCATAAACGGGTTCAGGTTTTCTAGCAGCAAGACTGTAGCCATGCATTTCTGTCGTAGTCGGCAATGCGGCAATATGTCTGTCCGTCTGTGTGGCCAACGCATCTCAACGGAGCCTGTGGCTAGATACCTTAGGGTATACCTTGACCGCCGACTAACATATAAGGCACATCTTAAGACGCTACGTGAACGCTGTTTTAAATCCTTGAACATACTAAAATGTGTTTCGCGCACATCATATGGGGCAGATAGAAGCACGCTCTTGCTATTGTATCGCTCAATCATACGTTCTAAGCTGGACTACGCATGTTTCATTTACGACAGCGTGTGTGAGTCCACCAAACGCGTCCTGGACACTGTCCATCATGCCGCTCTACGCGCAATCACAGGAGCGTTCCGCACATCGCCTGCCACGAGCCTCATGGTAGAATCGCACGAGCCGCCCTTGTCAGCGAGAAGGAAAATGCTCGGTATGCATTATGCACTTAAGTTGCGACAGTTCCCTCCCATCCGGCATATAACGCAGTTTTTCACGGCCTGCTGTGCATTTTCGTCGCAGTGCACCTCGGGCATATGCTGTAACCTTTGGGCTTCGAATGCAAGCCTTGCTACGGGAGAGCGAAATTCCCATTCGAAGGTTGAAGCGGGTGGATCATCTGTCCACCGCTCCCTGGCGTTTGATCTCGCCATCAATAGATACGTCTTTGACCGAAATGAAAAAGAATGTCGTCTTGCCAGATATAATGAGGTCGAGGGCACTTGAGCGTATGGCGTTATATAACGATTACACACTTACACGGACGGATCTAAAACTTCTGGCGGTGTGGGTTGTGCGTTCGTGAGCGGCAGCGTCATCAGGTCGTTTTCCTTGCCTCCACATGCGTCGGTGTTCACATCGGAGTTGGTAGCGATCACCAAGGCGTTGTGTTTCATCGAAGTCAGTGACGAACCTTCACATCTGATTTTGACAGACTCTCCTAGCAGTGTTCTTAGTCTTAGGTCTTTTTATCCATCATGTCCCCTTGTACAGGATATTTTAGGACGTTTGACTCAACTGGATCAAGCTCGAAAGAAAGTTATCTTGTGTTGGATCTCCAGTCACATTGGAATCGCCGGCAACGAGGTGGCTGATGCGGCTGCAAGGCGAGCAGCGCTGGCTCCATGCGTACGCTCCCTCTCTATCCCTGCCAGATATTTTTACCCTGCAATAAAAACCTTTCTGCAGAATGAATGGCAGCGTTGTTGGAATGTAACAAATGAAAATAAGCTCAGAGCAATAAAACCCAAGCTGGGTCAGTGGTTTTCGTGTTTCCGCAAACTGAGGCGAAAAGAGGTGATCCTCTGCAGACTACGTATCGGACACACGTACGCAACTCACGGTTACTTGTTGTAGGGAGCCGAAAGACCTGTCTGTCATCGATGTGGTGCTGTTCTCACCGTTCGTCATGTGCTTACATCATGTCCGCGCCTCAGGGAAGAACGTCGACGATTCTTTGGTCAGCGTGACTCGCCCTTGACGCTCTGTGACATTTTAGGAGACAACTCGCGCCTTCTTGAATCTAAACAGGTCTTTTTATTCCTTAAACATATCAACTTCGGGACTCTTTACACGGTTCATTAGTTAGGTAAAACAAAAATCGTTATGGGCGCCAAATGATCGCTGCAGTCGGCGCGCCCGAAAACACCAATCAACAACAACAACCAACGGAACACTAACGGAATTATCAGGACTGAAGGGAAATGTCCTGAAACTTTGTTATGATTTAGAGCTCTATCCCCTTGCCACACAGCCGTTAGCATCAAAGGTTTGTCAAAATTGGTAGGTGTTCTTCAGAAATATTGAGATCCCCATGAATATTAGTTTTAGAACGGAACAGAGCAAGCATTTGTAATCACATGGCCAGCCCATGTTCTTTATGGGATGCCCAACCTTCAGTCGGAACCGGTTAGGGAATATAATTATGTAACATAGTTTTGAACATGTGGGTTCACACGCCTTACAAACAAAAATCCCGACGCCGGACGTCACGCTCCCCACAGGCCGCGGTGTCGGCTCGATGGCTGACACTAGGCGGCAGCCAACGGGCTGAAGAAAGTGATGACTTGTGGAAATAATGGCCCGATTGTCCTAGGAGGGCCTCCGTCGGTGCAAGAGGCCGTCCCGCTGACCTTTAAGGTCCCGGCCCCACGTCCCTGGAGGGCCTCCGGCGGCGCAAGAGGCCGTCCCGCTGACCTTTGAGGTCCCGGCCCCAGGGGTCGAAATCCTTAATGTGACTGACATGCAACCCTTCGGTCCTCCAATCGCGACCTAGATCATCCATCCAGAGGGCCCTTTGGCGCCCCTTCTGGCCCACTCGGATGCTGTTCTCGCCCAACTCAGGGCTCCTCGCCATCACAAGGCACTCTCTTAAATAGATACGATATATGTATTTAGGAGCCTCTACAAAGTGGATTTTTGAGCTTCCACGTCAATTTACATGCCATAGTCTAAAGATAGAAACAAAACAATACAGATGAAGGCACGCTATATAAAATGCTTTTTTCAGGTCCTTGACAAATAGGTCCAAATCGCCCTAAACACTGCGTTGCTCGCTACTGCAGACACCCACACGTCTGTAAACAGCAGGTTCCATTCACTAGATGCGTGGAAATATGAACGACAGGAGTACAAACTCAGTGCCGACACGCGGCAGCTGCAGCTGCTCGACGCCCGTTGCTCGAGTAGCAGAAGCGGACACATCAGAGCAGCGTGTCACACGCTCTCGCAGCATCCCGGCGCGTGGGTGGATGTGCTGATATCACGAATGACTTGAATACATCCCGTTCACACGGTGTCGAATCCAAGGAGTCCAATGGGGATGGCGTGGCAGCGACGCGCGATAATGAAGATGCATTCTTCACATGAAGATGCAGGTGGTAAACCTGCCTTTTCACTACCATACGCGGCACGTTTGGTACCTGATAGGCTCCTGAGTCGAAAGAGGCAGGTCGCGGGTAGACTACTCGTGACTGTGGTCTTTTGCTTTCGGCATTGATTCAAGCTAGAAGCCAGGCGTATTTACGGGATTGGGCGCTGTGGCTCTTTTCTTCCCATCAATGTGCTTCTTCTCCTCACGTCCATTAAAGGGTGTGCTCGATTTCCACTTACAAAGTGTGTAACAATTTGGGTGTCACTCGCTGCGTAAAAACAAACTTTGACACGTTCTCCAGCAGTGAGATCAAATCAGGTTTCAGCTAGCTTGAGTTCAGATTCGTGAGCTTGACGAAATGCGGCCCGAACGAATTGTTACTTCTTCCCCGCACAATCAAGGCCATATGCGTTCCGATCAGAAATCACTGGGTGACCTCTTTGGTACGGGGACGTTAGCACTGATGACTACCGTGGGCTGTGATGTTTTCTGATGAATCCTATTATAGGATAAGCGGGTCGCACATTTACCTTTCGTAGTCCCTACAGATTACATACGAAAACAGAGAGGATAAGATGTCACAACACAAGCCAGAACTTTATACAGACCCGGTTCGAGCCTGGGTTTACAGAGAAATTCTCCTTGGGCGACACGTTTACCCTGCCTTCTGTGACCCGGAGAATTGGGACCATATGAAGCGACTTCTTGGACGCTTTGCACTGCTCCGCTTTTTGCCTCCCTGAGGTTGCTTGCTTCTTGAGGTCGGTTAAGAGGGCCGACGGCGTGTCCCCCTTTAGAAGCATTCTTGATTAGATGCGATCCACAGCGGAGCGTTTGGGGCCCCGAAGGCAGCTTTCCTGTCTTTCGAGCTTGCAATTTTTGTACTTTGTGTCGTTGAAATTGTCATTGCCTATCCAACTTCTTCATAAGCCGCTTCACCACTATTTCGAACTCCTCTGTCAGAATGTTTCTTCCTTGGATATGTAGCAACGCCCAGATAGAGCAAGATTTACCAAAAATGTGAGCCAGCATCATAAGGCTCTGCGGCAAAAAGGTTTTTGTTCTAAAAGCAGCCTTGATCTCCTTGTTACGCAGGATCTTCCGCAGCCTTTTAATATGCGAGGCAATGCAGTTGTTTCCCAGGTTCACCTGAGTGATATGGTTTGTTTCATCTCAACCCGTCCAAAAACGTTCATTTTTGGCCTGTTCAGCTTTGGAGAAAAATGGCGACCTTTGGCATGCTAACGATCGTTCTTTGATGGCGTTGGATCCCGGAGTCATTTTTTAATAGAAATTTATGATTTGCAACGGATGAGATGCGCAAAATACTTGTCACGAGTTGGCTGGAATTTCAGCTAGACGTAACGCACGAGCCCACATTTTTATTGCCGAAATGGTGAGGTCGATTAGAACGGAAAACCTTTGGAATATCTTAGGCTTTTGTGTCGATTATCCAGTTTATTTACAATGCACTTAAATTCGTTAGTTAAATGGTGAGTGATTCTGCAGATCGACATTCAACATGACGTGTAAGTCACACCACCCATTGATACATGGAGTGCATAGTGTTTGTGGACCATTATTGGATTTCAAGCCACACTGCCATATTGTTATAGTTAACCTCCGTTTTATCTCGAAATTCATGCTAGTTGCCAACTGAGCAAAGCTGAAGTTTTATCAAGCACGCTGAGCTTGTATCGGTATGATAACCATGATCTAGATCGTCCATGCAGATATTTAGCAAGGTATCTTTTATTTAGTTGACTGGTGAAAGCAAACTTCGAATCAACATTGTGCATCAGGGGAGTGACTTAGTCAAGTGAGTAGAAGAAGCCCAGCCAGGTGAGAACGGCTTAAAAGTCGTCCTACCACTGCAGGTTTATTATTACCACGAATTTAGCGTTCTTTCCTTTCAAATCTGGGTATGGTGCGGGGGCTGCAGCCCCCTCCAACGGAATGCAAAATAAGTCCTATGCATTATGTCATTGCAACATCTATAGTCATACATTTCAGTTTGCTGTGCGTAGTATCAGTAACAGGTTCAAATCTAAAACAGGTGTGCTTAGTTGCACGTGCATGAAGTAAGTTATTTTCGATTAACCTACATCTCTTACCAATCAAAAATTGATCTCTTAGGAACAAAAAGGCGTTGTCAGACATGCTTGCTATAAAAGTCACACTCATGCCAACGGCGGGTTTCGTGCTGGACATTTCATACCTGCATATGGTACAGGATAATTAATTCAATTCTCATCCAGCTGGTGTATTCTAAGATCCAATTATTATGACGCTGCTCATGTGAGTTAGACCATCGAGGGATCATCCTGTGTGGCTTTTCCATTTAATTGCATAAATAAACCCTCAAGTCAAATGACATAGATAGGAGCCGCCATATCAATAAACAAAGGCGGCGAATTTTTAGCATTCTAGCTGGTTATGGTGGTGCAGCACTATTCGAGTCGCGCATACTAGAACAGAATATGGATACACACATAGGGAGTCATTGCTTTGCCACTACTTGTTAATTTATTCCGATATCCAATAAGTGGTGTAACCGCAGCTATGACGTTTCTTGGAGAGTTTTTTAACATTGAGATGTTTCACATGCGGCTCAACAGTTGTTTTTTTTTTGGTTCCAGAGGTACCATGAAGGAGGTTTAGCCGATTCTGGAGGCGTGAGCATTCTGTGGTAACCCTTCATGGACGTTTAAGTCATCCGTAAACGAAGTGCTTTTGGGCGTGTGCCTGCAAACTTATTCATGGGATGCCGAATCAGGATGTTGTGGGGAAGGAGAACTGCTTCCCAACGTAACTAGCGAGTTTGAAATGCTACACCTTTTGCAAAAAAGCTTTATAATTTAGGGCCTTGGAAAAATAGCGGTGAAAAATATCTAACATGACATAAAACGTATAGCAATGAAGATCAGACAACGGATCACTGGGGGTACATGACGAAAGGCTTATGTGAAGGTGCGCTATTTTTTCTAAGACAATTGTTTGCGCTGCAGTTTCCTGTAAGTTTTATTTCCGAAAGCTTTCCTGGTGCCGTTTAATCATTTACCTGCTTTGAAAGTAACCTAAAATATCGAATTGTTTTAACAAGCGTCTATGATCCTTCTCGCTGCCGAGCCAACTGATATTTTGTCCCATTCTCGATACGACGATAATCAGAAGCCGGCTCTTACTCCCAATTTGCAATGACACAGTCCTGCTGCTTTCAGAGTTTGTGACCAGTAACCTGCGAGATAATTTCAAACTGGTGAACAATCAACGTTTGAAGTAGCTGGCCACATCACCACTAGACGCCAGTGCAAACGCACACATCTCTAACTGCCATCTGACACTCTGCCTTCAACATGGCGGTAAGACTAGTTGTCTTAAAATTACTTTAGCTTGCATTTACAATTCCTGAAGTGCGGTAATATGTTACAGACCTTTTCGTTATCTACTTCCAACGTATAAATTTCTGCCCCCACGACATGTGCCCCTTGCGCGCAAAACGACATGGTTGAAGGTGAGATGTAAGAAAAAGCCGAACAAATATGTTTTTAAGCTTACACACCAGAAGCTTTAACGAATGGACCTCAGTTGCATTTAGTACTCTTTATTTGATTAGATTTATTGTAACTTGCCCGCACATGGTGTTATTGGTGTAATACCCACGGAATTTGAAAATACCGATAAAGTAAAAAAATAAAACAGTTTTGCTGGCGGCGCCTTAAAATTCGAAACAGACGTGTGCCATAAGAGATTACTGTATAACGTATAACTCTACAGAGTCGTGTTCATGGGACGGGAGGCTGTACCACATCCCTACTCGTCGAAGTTGATTCACTCATGCCCAGACCCACGAGGCCTGCCGATCGCACAAGGTGCCTATGAAGCACCTTGCACTGGTTTGCATCGGTACCGTGCATGATGCTCGACTTCCTCGATTGAGAAAAGTAATAGATGGCGCAGGCAGGGAGAGGGACACAGAGAGCACGCCCCCCCCCCCCCTTAGGCTCTGAGGGGCCCTTCGGGTTCTTCGGGACCCGTGGGACCGACGATTAACGACCCAAAAGGCCGGCCGGAGATCGTATTCAGGAGACCCAGGCCACAGAGCCGGAAACTCCAATGCCAGTCAGAGGGCCCTCTGCGCCGATGGAGAGGCCCCCTGAGTCGACAAGGGCCTATATGGCGGTTAGACAAAACCAGTAACGCTTAGTCAACTCCATGTCGGCATGGGCCTGTTGGCCCATTTCCTGAGCAGGGATAAAACCGCGGACAGCGCTTCACATTGGTCGGGGCCCCAGCGTCTGTCAGGGTCCACAGGGCTCAACAGCCCCATGTCGGCAAGAGGCCACGATTCAGCCAAAAGTAATGTTTAAGGAGGCCCGAAGAGAGCCTTGAGGAACCATCAGGACCGACGATCAAGGGCCCGATTGGGAGGCCTAAGAAAACGAAAGGCTGGCCTGAGTCTTCTTCAGGTGCCCGGCCGGCGGGAAAGGACCTCAAATAATAACCAGGGGACCCTTTGCGCCGGTCAGAGACTGCCGATTTGAAAAGGGCCTATATGCGGTCAGGCATCACCAGCACCATGGGCGTAGGAACAGGGGGGGGGGGGGGCAGGGGGCCCGTGGCCCCCAACTTTTCAAGGTGGGGGCTAACAATGTTAACTAGGCCCCCCACTTTTCAGATTAAGGTTGATTTGGCTTATTTTTGCACTACATTAAACATGCATGCCGATTTGCCTAGTTCACCAGCCATCTTCCTTAAGATGCGCCATCTTTTCCGTTCGCTCATTGGCCATCACTTAGTGTTACAACCGCGAGGCCGACGTCGCGTGGCCTGGAGACTGCAACGCCGGGCGTCGGGGCTGTTATTGCTATGACTTGCGAGCGCGCATGTTCAAGACCATATTACGTAATTTTCTTATCAGTAATTAGCTCTGACAGGATCTTGAGCATTTTAAGACGAACATGGGTTAGCCATGTTAATACAAATTAGAAAACTCACCTCATCTGCAATCTACAGTGAGGGAGAACTCAGTTCTCTGAAGAACACAGAAAAACACGAAACTGGACTCTATGTGACAACTATCGGACTACCTGCGGTGATTATGGATGTTGCTGCGTCAGTGAGAGTTACTGTGCTGATCCGGGGCCAACTGCGCGGGTCAGAAGGCCTCCCGTGTCAGGGAGGGGAGCAATGTGAATATGATATATCCTTCTCATGGCCTCCGGATCGACCAGGAGATCCCGCCCCGTGCCACCAGAATGATAGCCAGAAGACACTTCGCGGTGGAACGGAATGACTCTTCAGCCCTTGACCGGAAACGGTAATGTACCCCTGGTGTTCTATTCAAGAGGCCCCTTGCCCGGAAGGAAATAAGGGGTCTCATTATTGTTGGGTAAAAGGGTGTCTCATTATTGTTGAATAAGGTGGATCGAAATGAGCTTAAAAAACGAGCAAATTCATGCCATGCTTGCCCGAGAACGTTCACTTCTTTCATAATGTATGATTGAAACAAATAACAGTCAAAAGGCTTGATTGAACATGCCCGCCCGCAATCTCGAGCGCAAGGACAAGGATGGTCTGGGTTGCAACTTCCGTAAAACCGAAAAGTTTCGGCCTCTGCAAATGCCACCCGACGGCGAGCGCCATGTTAATCTGTCTTCTGGATAGATAAATAGCTGCAAAAACACGGAAAAATAGAGATTTTACCATCGCTCTTCCAGTTCAACCACCAGATTCCAGCCCCACTTCGCGGTGCTTTAACGGCCAATCGTTCTTTCCATCAGTCTAAAAATTGCGCACGTGAAATATGCGTTCAGACTGCCTTCTAAATGTAAGATCTGGTGTCATGAAGCGTTCAAGGATACTTTTTCAGAAGTGACGTTAATTTTCGTCCACCCGTTGGCCACAACTGGATATTAGCTGCTAAGCCCACGCTGCGCAGCTCCGGAAACTGCAGCGCCTGTAGTCGAGGCTTGTGGTTCTAAGATTTTCGAGTGCGCATGCTCAAAATTAGGTCACATAACTTGTATTACTAGTCGATTTAAGTGTTAAAAGGTAATCATTTCAGAAGCGTCATCATTTTCGTCCACCGGTGGGCCACGGCTAGATATTAGCTACTGGGCTAACGCTCCGCGGACTTTGGAGACCACAACGCCTGGTGTCGAGGTTTTTGTTGCTAAGATTTGCGAGCGCGCATGTTAAAAAACACGTTACATAAATTGTGTCACTGATCGATTATGACTGAATGGTGACCATTTTCAGACAAGCATGGTTTGGCCATGTTAACATACATTGGTGACCACTCGATCTGCAATCAATTTTCATCTTCAAATTTGGATCAAACATATCCATCTACAATCTACCTTCGCGATGTCCTCAATGTCTGTAGTACCCAGATATAATTTTTTGACAAAGCATCTGAATTCTATCGGCTTAGAAAGAGTCAACTAACCATTGTAAATTAACAGCACCGGTGATTTCTTCTATGCAGTTGTTCAACGCCTGATTTCTGCAGGTTATTGACCTCAGAATGCAAACAGAATTGAGCTCACGGCAGCTCCTGGTTTCTGTTATGGTTACAAGGTAAACACAACAATACAACGAAGAAAACTGTGCTTCTTGTTAACAAGTAAGCTACACCCGGTGATCTTTGGGGGGGGGGGGGAGACCAACATAAAATGGACTTTTGTCAACCTCGTGTTCCCCCTTGGAAAGGCTCTGGCTACGCCCCTGCCTACACACAAAAGCAGATCAAGTCGTATACGTTGCACGATGGGCAATGAAGTGTCAGTTGGGCCAATTCATATCTAGGGCAGACAGCTTCCCGGAGGCCATTTTTCTGCGATGGTGTGGTGTGAGGGAAGACAATTCTGAAAAAGATACTGTTGCAGGCGTCCAACACATGTTTCATACACCATGTAGTAGAAACGCTGATCCAAAAGTGTGCAACAAAGCAGCCACGCGATCGGTTTGCAGTCAGTCATGCGGGAGACACCCGGGCCCGGGCAGTGGCCACAGACGGCGGACAGGAGCAGGGCCCAGATAAGGAACATATGACAGATGGGCCTTATCATGTGGCTTGATTCTTAAAAAGAAATCTCCAGTTTTATTGCTTTAGTCACATTATTTCTAGCAGTTTCAAGCTACCAAATTTGTTTCCGCCTAAAATGCTGCAACAAGTCTTATCTCTTGAAAAGCAGTCAGGAAAATGAAGGCGCATGCAAAATCTGCCGCACTGTGAGCCATCGATCCACTTTCAAAATTATCACCAGCCTATGTCCAGACCGTATTTTGGCATCTATACTGTCGAGGCAGATGATGTCTCAATGACCCAAAGTGCCTACTCGGTCGTGGAATTTCGCCTCCCCAAGCAAGACAATGTTAAAATAGACGCGTAATCTAAGGAAGCTGGATACCCTCATTGGCCAAATGACAGATGAGTCGAATAAGCAAGATTGTGCACGAGTGAGAAAAAGCTCTAGATGCATATCTAGCATAGCAGCCATGACATTTGAAAAAAGAGCGATAACAACCTCCATCCCTGACCCCCCATCCCCGTCATTGGGCTCGCTTTCCAGAAAAGTTCCTGAAGTACACCCTGAGTTCGGTCCCCCCACTTTTTAAAACGTTCCTACGCCTATGACCAGTACCACACAGTCGGCTCCGTGTCAGAATGGGCCTCAGGACCCACTTCCCAAGCAGCGACAAAGCCGGTGCCAGCGATTTACACTGGTCGAGGCTCCTGCATCTGTCAAGCGCCCACAGTGCCTGAAAGAGGGTCCCATGTTGGCAAGGGGCTGCGTTTTGAGGATAAAAAAGTTTATATTAGGCAGTGTTCAATGAGACCCGATAAGGCGCACACTGAAACCGATGAACAATAGCCCGACTGGATGGCATAAGGACCCTCAGGGCTAGGGCTCAAATGAGCTGCAGGCCACACAAAGGACCGCTGTTAGTAGGGATATGACCTAAAATGTCAGTCAGAGGTCCTCTTGTACCGAGTGAGAGCCCCCTAGAATAATGCGAATGTCTATGTCGGCCAGAGACCACCAACACCTAGCATTTGTCTCCGTGTCGGTCTGAACGCTGGGGGCCATTTCCCAGGCCGGAGCAAGGCCGGGGCCCACGATTTACATTGGCTTGGACCCCTGAAACAATTTTTTGGGCCCCTATGTCGGCCAGGGGCCCAAAGTGCCTAACAGGGAGTCATGTGTCGGCAAGTGGTTCCGAATCCATCACGGGCTTTGGTTGAGAAGGCCCAGCGAGGGACCGAAAGTCCCCTTGGCACCGAAGATCAAGGATCTGATTGGAAGGCTGAAGGGGACGAAGGGCCTGAAGGACTGACCATAGGTCACGATCAGAATGACCCGTAGGGCCATGACCTCAAATGTCAGGGCCTCAGATAAGTATCTCTTGCATCGATTGGAGACCCATGGGACAGAGCGCGGTTCTTTTTCGGTCCATTTCCCCAAGTACGAGCAAGGCCGGGCCCGTGATTTGCATTGGATGGGGCCCCTGAAACAATCAGGGTGTCGATGTCTGGGATCCGCAATACCTATCAGGAGGTTCTGCGTCGGCAAGTGCCCCGAGTCGCCAGGAGCCGTGTTTATGGGGGCCTGAAGAGGTGCTCAAGAAGCCCCTCGGGACCAAAGATAAAGCGCCAGATTGAAAGGCTGAAGGGTCTCTGAAGGACCCAAAGAGCTGTCTATAGGCCACATCTAAGAAGGTCATAGAACCATGATCCCAAACGTCAGTTAGAGGGGCTATTGTACCGATTGGGAACCCTGAGACAGTGGGTTTCTGTATTTCAGCTAGAGGTCACCAACACCGAGCAGTAGGCTTCGTGTTGGTTTGAGCTCTGTTCCCATTGGAGGACAACGCCGGGCCCGCACTTTGCATTGGTCGGGCCCATGAAACAGTGCAAAGCTCCTGTGTCGGTCAGGGGCCCACAATGCCTAACGGAGTGTCTTGCGTCAACAAGGGCTTCGAGTCAGCTAGGGGAACAGATTACATCTAAGAGTTTTGGGCCTCGGGGGCAAGGACGGCGATGGCCGTGGTTACAGGTTTCATAAACGCTAACGGCTTGTGAGTAATACTAGACGACGGGTGGCACATTCACGATGGTCGCAAAACCATGCTTTTGGAAGCCTTCCAAAATAAATCTGTACCTTTAAAGATCAATTAGGGCGTATCCCTCTTATCGCAATTTTGACATTGTTCCCTGCACGGCTCAACAGTTCAGCAACAGGAAAACCAAGAATTGTACCTATCCTCTTTCATTTATGCTACCAGATTTTCGTCCACTTGTTGGCCTCAGTGTGGTGTATACCGCAGGTCAAACGCCGTGTGGCCTGCGAAGACTGTAACATCGGGCAACGAGGTCTTTTGCTAAGACTTGGAAGCGTGCATGCTAAAACTACGTAGCCTTATTTTCCTCGCTAATCGATTCTGGTTGAATGTGGAACATTTCATGACAGGTATGGTTGGCCACGTTAAAGGGAATCTTCCACGGCTGAAGACATTGAAGCAGTCATCAGACATGATAAAATAAGCTCGCTTATGCATACTGGCATACCTTTAAGTGGAAAATGCTCCTCTAGACAACACAATTTCTCTGTTTAGTCAGTATGTCACTCATTACGTCATTGTTGGCTTACGTCAATGTACCTTGCGCAGCGTTGACTGAGAGCCAGTCGACGGCCGTTATATCTGGAAATCGCGCTCACGAACGCCAGATATGAACAACTCGACAATCATATCGCTCATGGCATTGATCGTTGCATAGATAATGGAAAGGCAGAATTTGAAAGAATCATGCTATTATGGCATCCTGGGTGCCTGGGTGACCTTGAAATAGTCTCCCCGAAAAAATCTGTACGTTTTCGCCGGCGGGTAGCTCAGAAACTATAGGGGTTTAGGTCTTAGGAAGGGCGGGACTGTGAACTGCAACGAATAGTTTTCAAGGTGGCTATTTCTGTTCAAAACCCGTACAAATGTGGAGCGTTCCCTTAAATAACAATTTTTGACCCGTTTTGATAACAAATACATGTTCTCGGGTTTCCCCATATCTCTGTAGAGCCAATAACAAAATTCTGGCAAAGTTGCTGAGCTCTAGAGCCTCTCGAGGCTTGAAGGAAACAAAATAACGAAAAAGAACTGCGACTATGGCAAGAGCCATGTCCGGACGGCTCGAAACACCTACCACTCCAGAAGAGCACTCCATTTCAACGCACCAGTTGTCCTCACATTCCCCGTCACTCCCAAGATTTGGCAAATTCTTAGGACACTGCCAGATGAGCCCGATCGAGTGTCTCCTTATGCATCCCTCGGCTCCACTCAGCAGAAGCGCATCTAACTATGGCCGTCATAACAAATGCATGAGAGATCATGAAACCATAAAGCATCATTAGAAAGCTTGGACGCCTGTAGACATGCACATGAAGCATTGGCCGACGTACTCAGTAGCATTTGCTGATAAAAAACAACAGAAAAACACACACTTGTTCCCCCTCCCCTGTAATGACCCTGACACTTTCGTCGACTACACTATGTCATTGTTTGGATTAAGAAAAGGCTCAGCTATGGCGATCGTTGAACCCGTATTAATGTCTCCTTGTTTATGATTCCTTGACCTATTATGGAACCACGCCCTTCTATTGCTCTGCATCATGCGCACGTCCGATCGTACCAAATGCAGACTTTCCTTGCAATGTCGGGAAGTTGGATGCAATGGAGACGCAGGACCGATGTCGGTACTACTTGTGGTGACGCCGTGCTCACGCAATGTCCTCATGTGCCGCACCACGTGGCAGACGTTCTGATCGCGGTCAATGGGTCCTAAAATTCTGAACGACCTTTTAATTACGGTGGACTGGATCTTGTGCCACAATATTCCCATTTCGACCTGCATGCTGCGTCCCCCTGATTCCCCGTCGCAACCGAGTACGCCGTGCCGCAGGACTCGCTGCCGCTGCAGCCGCAGCGGCCCGACTCGCCCTCGGACGAGTCGGAGCACAGTCTGGGCTCTGCGCCGACCGTGGCCGGCTCCGGGCCAGGCGGCGGTGCCAGCTCCGCCTCCGAGCAAGCCTCCGCCACCAGCGGCGACAGCATCCGCAACCTGAAGGAGGCGCTGCAGCGCAAAAAGGAAGCGCTGACGGAGCGCAAACGGCAGCTGGAGGGAACCGGGCCTCTCCGGATCAGTCGGAGTGACGAGGTCGGTGTGGACCGGCAGCCTGACCGGTGCAGCGTAGCCGCTGCCATAGCCAGTGCGGGGTAATTCCTACTGAAAGTCTGTCACGTTGATTCGGTCCAAGCCGACGAATGGCTGGTGGATAATCACGCAACCACCCGATGCCCGCATAATCACGTAATGAGCCAGGACCATGTACGTTGAATTATGTATCGGGTTTGTAGTAATCAAATTAAAAATGTGCTTATATCTACCATGTACAACATCATGCTACGTGCAGCATAATAGTGAAGTTGCAAAAGCGATGTCTTCCATGTTAAGTAGCGCAACCATTTTGCACGGAAAAATGTTCTTTAAAGTAACAAAGCCACGTTAGCTCGGTTGCCACTTGTGCAACGTTCAGGATTTCTCAGAATCCAGGATGGTGACCGCTCGATTTTTCATGCTATATTTTTCATGCTTTTTAAATTTTGTGGTATTGATGACAAACATGATGGTGTGATCTCTGTTTTTGAGTTGATCAAAAGCAGAGAGCTCATTTCTGGACTTATTTTTAGAACCACGGGCATTGTATGTTATGTATTTGGAATGTCGAATGTTGAGTATCATATATTTAGAATAATTATATTATGCACTTTAGAATTACGGAGTACTTTACTGGTATGCCTATGTCCAAAAGGCTATGCACCGGATGCTTTCCTTCTCCGAAGTGGCATGATACATTATTGCATTCCGATATTTCGACGGGTGTGAACGCCGAAAAGCTGGCTTGGCTTTCTGGGACTCAACCTTTCGATGTGGGCATATGTGTCATCTACCTTCTAGGCCTCTAGACGTTGTGGTCTAGCGTCCAAACTTGCATACAGGCCTTTTGTGGTCCCAACTAGCCAGACGGCGTGGTTCTACAGTGAAACGGACATCCAGACCAGATGTGGTACAGCAGTAAACCAACATCTGATCTGCTAGCGCTTCGGTCCCGCTGTTCGGGTGCGGTCAGAAGTGCGCGCCCGCCAGTAGCTCCATCCTGGCACGCTGGGGAAGTGGCTCAGTTAGCAAGCATTATCGTGGTGAACTGATGCAAAGAAGAAATACGTGGGAGCCTTGAGACAAGGCTGCTACAGAAGGAAATTACTGCTCCGCCCTTCTCGCAGGAACATGAGCGTCTTTGTCTGTTGTTGAACATGTCTTTCGAATGCAAACTGTGCAGCAGCATGGCGATAGTGAGGTATCCTCTGTGCGACTCACCCACCAGCCTATGCAGCTGGAGCACTGCAGCGCGCCTTCCGAGCCAAACCCATCCCAGTCCCCAACAGAGGGTCTGTTCGTTGAAGAGTCACAGCTCCATCCACTGCCGTTAGGTTCAGTCAGCAGCGAAACGCGGCATGGCTGTTGCAAGTCCACGAGAATAACAAGCCGCCGCAGTGGACGAGGTTGCAATGGTTAGCAAGGCCAGCTGATGACGTGTTCTATCCGGGAGACAAAGACACTGGTGGTATTCGGGCTCCTGATCGACTTGCTGCCTACCTGCCTCGACACCGTTCCGACTATGCTCGCGTGTCTCGAAAGGACGTAATGTTGTTGGAATGCCAGCACGCCCATCTCACAGCCGACCTCCAACTGCATCCAAAATCAATCTGGCCATTACCTAGCCCGATGGGACGACCCCCAGCGCTGTACCAGCCTCGTGATTTACTCGAGTATGATGCACACTCCCATGAACATTACCTAGCCCGATGGGACGACCCCCAGCGCTGTACCAGCCTCGTGATTTACTCGGGTATGATGCACACTCCCATGAACATTACCTAGCCCGATGGGACGACCCCCAGCGCTGTACCAGCCTCGTGATTTACTCGGGTATCGTGCACACTCCCACGAGCATCGTGCACTGTGCAAGGAATGGGCGTTATTATAAGCACAGCGTTTGGTGGCATCCCCAACATCGTGAACGGAACCGCCCACACTAACGCCCTAAGGGCATGAACGACACTGAGGCGAACCAGAAGCTGAGCGACCACATGTGGTCATCCAGAGAGCATCCGAATGGGAGAATGTGGACAGGCTCCTTAAAGGAAGGCGGTTTACGGGAACGACACGGAACTGACTGTAGCAGGGACATGACATTGAACGTGAGCTGCATGCGTCAATCCCACCTCCGAGCGCAGGCGCTGATATCTTGGCCCAGTGATCTTGACTCTCATTACAGAGGCTCTCCAACCGCTGCACGATAGTGACATCAGTACGCTTATCTACGGCTTCACATGGTCTCACCCGTACCGAACCACGTGGGTTCTTACTGCCTTTCGGCTTAGAGTTTTCCACACATGGTAGGCAGTCTCGTTTGAAATCATGTTCGCTGAAGTGGGATTTCAGTAACCTTTTGAAAGAAACGATAGGGGCCCGCAAAGACATTCTTGTTTTATTGCTTCTACTCCTCAATGTCCAGCTACAGTAACACAACTTGTGAGCTAGAATGTCGTTCTGACAAAGATGTGTGCCTCTCATCGCGTTTTGCTTTGTTTGTTGCGTCGGCTTTCTGAACCACCAGTCTTGAGTGTTTGCATGACTCCCTTTCAGTTAAGCCTATAGACGAGGACTTTCCCTCTCAGGGAAGAGGCATAAAGACTGCGAAGGCGTGGAGTGTCGTGGTATAGCGGCTAATATGATCAGTCTGGCATCTGTTGCATTGAAGACTAAACTAACAGGCCTATGTACCCGACTTAGTGAAAAGCGGTATATAAGACATGCAACTGCTGAGATCTTTTAGCTTTTATCTGACCTTGACTTTGACTTTGTACATGAGATATACTGCAGAACTGCAGAAATGAGCTCCCTGTCATCGCAAAGCCTTCGAGCATAGCGCTGTATAACCCTCCAAGTCGTTGATATAAAAAGCTTAGACAAGATCAACATTCAAGATGGTGGTGGCCACCATCTTGAGTTCAGAGAAATGCTCAGAGTTGCACATGTAGGAACGGAGGTTATTTGACTCTCCTTCCTGCAAAGAACGTATTTCTGTGAGGAAAACACTCGCGATAATTGACATCACAGGGTTTTATTTGGGATGTAAAATGATGACACTCAATTCTAAGGACATCAGCCCGAAAACATTGAGTTTATACTTCTTCTGAACGCTGCTTAGGCATAAAGAAGCCCAGAGCCCCTAAACAAGCCCAGAAAAAGCAATATGATGTGCGGGCCTCTTGAGCATCAGTTCGTTTTTCTGAATATATCTCTGTTCGTTTGCGTTTCTCCCGTTGCCAAAATCGGCGTCCGGTAGAGTACTGATGATCCGGTGAAGCTGCGACAAAAGCTGGACCAGCTGCGCAGTCGCCTTAACATCCTGAACCCCATCATCGTGCGACTGGACGAAGACTACACCGCCACCGCCGAGGTCCTCTCGGACGGAAAGGTAGGACGGATGACGGGAAAATGCAGCTCACACCGGCTGCACCACTGACACGCCTTCTCAAGTAATCTTGTTTTGATCGGGGCTCTGGATGTCGCCTTTCCAAGCTGGTTTGTGCTCTCCGTTGCGGGCTGTGCCTTCATCTTAACATTCTGTTTAGCCTAAAATTTTGTTTCGCCTTGCGCGCAAATATTCGGGCAACATTGCTGAATATATGGTGGTACCTGCCGCTGTTGAGTACCTATATCAGTATGTACAATGGTGTATCAGTATGCACATCAGCATACACAATAGCTTCCGCCCTTGTACCTGGCGACATAAACCTGTCACTGGCGCAAGTCTGTTGCTTCAGACCACAACATCCGACACGGAGGTAAAGCTGATGACAGAGATCGGGAACATGCGACGGGTCCATCCATCAGCAGGAGCAGGTCAAGGCCGGACTGGAGCAACAGATCCAGGAGCTGGACGAGCGCTGCACTGAGCTGACCAAGGAGGGCTCGGACCCGGTGAGCGCTCCCGACGCCGACGACACTGGCCGACCATGGAAAACGGGCGCCGGCATACTCATGTAGTGTGGTAGGAGTATGGGCTGCATGGGAGACTATGTAGCCGTAAAATACACGTGTCGGTGATATCAGACCATATGTGCGTATATATGATGATAAAAATGCAATGCTCATTACAGATTGCATTAGCATTCCTGTACGGCGCACAGTTCGTCGGTTTACCCCAATTATCAAGTTTTGTGTAGAATACGCTTTTTCCTTTCAGTTGCAGACTGGCAATACATGGTCTGCAAATGGTATAAATCAGCATGGGGTGCATTGCCTCGTGTGCTCTGCCGAACTTGTGCAAATATTGCATGCTCCTTATTCGGCTATTGCCTTGAATATTTGAACTGTCCTGTACATCTAAGTGGCCAGCCCTGATTAGTTGACGGTGATCGGTGCCGGTCGCCTAGAGTCGTGCTCAAGCGGAGGCTCTACGGAAACAGCAACACTCTCTGGAGCAGCAGCTGATGGACACGTTGCGCGACCTAGAGGTCAACAAGCTGGAAGCCTGCAGCAAAATGCACGAGGCGTCGGCCCTCATCTCGCGCGCCCAGAGACATGGCGACCCGGTCAGTTCATAAGCACATCGAGGCCTGATTGGCTGTCGACAAGTCATAGCCCACTTGTCCACATCGCTGCCCGATGGTCAGTAAAACGCCGATAGGTCAAAAGTAAAGCCGGATGTCTATCTATTTGAACAACAGTGGTTCATGGCGCTGGAGAGTAGAAGCTTGGTCAGAGTAGCCTGTTTCAAGGTGAAAAATACGTAGGTTTGCAAAACTTGCCTTTTTCGATACTCGCACAAGACACATGCACTTGGCTTGTGCGTCGCGAGCATCCAGTGGCAACGCGGGATCGTTCCCACTTCTGTTAGCTTCCTTATTACGTTCGCGTAAGGCCATTCTCAGCTAACGTCCTGCGTGCGGGCAACAGCTGGAGCCGTGTCCCGGCTACGTTTCGGACCAGTACTCGTCCGGCTACGCGTCCGAGGCCGTCTCCAGCGGGCCGCAGAGGATGCCTTTCGCCTGCAGCAGCCACGGCCCCATGCAGCCATGGCCCGCGAGTGGTGGCGGCGGCGGGGGCGGGGGCGGGAGCGGCGGCGGCGGCGGCGGCAGCAGCGGCGTCGAGCACTCGCCCCGGTCCGTGTCGGCGCCGCCCTCCGACCATGACGTCATTCTGCCCTGGAACATGCGGGTCAGTGCGTCAGCAAGATTGGCTCCGTTCTTAGTCAAATGTGAGGAGTGATCGACAGCCTCCCACCATGTCGTAGCAATTCAGTTTTATCGGAACTGCAAGCGTTTTTGTCATAATCGTTGAAAGCCGGTCGCACCGATTATGTTCCGTTATAGGTCTGCAATATCACAACGGCGGACGTAACCGGCAAAATTGCATTTCCTCAGAATTGAGATTACCCACTGGAGCTAAAACACGCTTCCAGTTGGTGATTCATCATGGTGCCGCAAATTTGACTACCGCTGTCTTAAACAAAGACGATTTGACCATGACCGCTGTCCCTTTCACTGATTGATCCATGACGGCAGGCGTCTGAATCAACACACCTAGCACGAGGCTCTCAAGTGCCACACAGAACTATTGCAACTCTCCTTACACACACCCTTCCACCTACAGCCAGCGGCCAACTACTACTCCCTGTCGCCGGGCGGCGCGGGAGCGGACGGCACGCCGGCTACCGGCGGCCTGGAAGTGCCGGGCGGCGGCGGCGGCGGTGGCGGCGGTGGCGGCGGCGTCGGTGGCGGCGTCGGTGGCGGTGGCGTCGGTGGCGGCAGATACGAGCCACCGCCCTGATGCCGCCAGCTATGACGGACCGACACCCTACAGCATGAAGAGTCTGAAGCAGATATTCGACGAGGGCACGCCGCACCCGGTGAGGAAGCCGAATAACTGCGGCAGTCTCGGCTGGATTGATAGCTGTGGCCCTCGTGAATGCCCAGCTTCCGAGACAGGTGGCGCCATGAGAAGTAAATTACGAGATTGACGTCTGTTTGTATGATATCTTCCGGGGTTTTGCATCCACACAGGACAGGTTCTGTTTTTATTGCTATAAATTTGTCGATTCTTCTTTGATGACGCCCTACTGGTGAGTCAGTAGTGTTTTGTGGATATGATGTTAATGACGCCCTTTATTTCAGGGCAATCCATCTGAGTCTGCGTAGCTTATGAGACTGGACACATGACCAGACAAATATGAAAAAATAGTGGAAATAAAAAACTGTCATCAAATGTTCGTTGTAGCTTGCAAATTCGTGGCAAATTCGACGCTCCTTAAATTTGTACGTGGGAAGGCAAAGGCAATACACTTTGCCCCGGACAGTGCTTTATATCCAGCCGAATTCTAAGGTTTCGGCCTTTGGACTGTATCGGCGGCTGTTGGCAGAATGTTCGGTTTGCGTACGCGGCATTCTAGGTTCGTTAGTGCACGCATGAAGAAGTTGTGGTTCTGAATGACCCAGTCATAATTCTTGAGCCATACATTTCCGGTACGTACATTGCATTTCATCATATCACATAACATAAGAAATAAGGTATACCTTTCCAATCGGCATACAACTCCGTCATGCACTTTTTGTATTGTGTATGCCTTTGCCAGACGAGACCATTCATCGTGGAATTACACTTGACGTGCACGCGCCGACTTACATCACATGCGTCATGCGATCTTCCTCCAAGATATTTAGTCAAAAACTTTGATATAGTTCTATGCAACATCTATCATGCATGGCTGGGCCAAATCACACACCTCGTTTGTGGTGAGTAAGCTCATTGTCATGGTTCGCACAATTAAGCCCAAGCACAACACTGATCTAAGGGCAAATGAAGGCTTGAAGAAAAAACAATGACAATTGTTTGGCAACAAAACAATTTTTAAGCCCCACATGAGAAGAGGCTACCCAGTAAGTTGCAGGGAATATGTAGACCCCACGATATTCAATGGGGGGGGGGGGGATCGTTTGCTGAATATTAGGCCATTTTAAAATGAACACAAACTTGAGTTTATGAGAATACCCACATTTTCCCAATGCAGCAGCATTTTCACTGACATAATGCAAATTTGAACATCAAAGTTAAAGTGTGTTTGCATACCACTTAGCAATTCACCTCGCGCCAAGATATATTCGCCCTCACGGTGAAGTGGTGAGCAGCTTGCCTATCGTGAGCGCGCGTTGTGTCGGAAGAGGAAGCGGAAGGAGGCAGAGCAGGCCTGTTGCCGTTGGAGAAAACATGAAGACGTAAGGAAACAACGTACCGAATGAAAAGCTTTAAGTGGTGGAGATGTTTCTGGCAGTACAAAGAAATAACTTGGACACGAACAGACGATTACACATAAAGCTGGCGAAGTTGACATGACCAATATAATACGTAAGCAGGCATTCACTGCACAGAGTATGGCGACAACTAATGATGCCGCGCGGCCGACGCGTTTATAGTGGCGTCACCTGTAGTGGTAGAAGCGCCACCTATGATGGTGGCGCTGCATCCAGTTCAATGAGCTGTTATTTTCGTCAGTCTGCATCTCTCGGCGCAAGAGGTGTTATGAGAGCGATAATCAGGTGCTCTAAGTAATAACAATTGATGGCCCCTTTCCAAATAGATAATTTTAAAGGATACAAAGCATATCCAGGATGATGTTTGTCAAAGCAACTGATAGTATGAACTACACTGATTTGGTTTTATTTTTCGTGTATTATATGTGGCATACGGATTTTCACTTTTTAAGAATGGCTGTCCTGAAAAGGCCCTCTGTACTTATGATTGGGTCCGGCAAAGAATGCTGTCACCATAAAACCGTTACGCGTTTAGGTTCGGTTTCACCGGAATTGCGCAACTTGCATGGTAACTTAAAGACGCACGCAGCAAACATAGCGTAGCCACGTGCTGTAAAGAAACAGACGCATACCAACCTCTTGAATTACTTGCATGTCTTTTGAATGAATGTATTTGGAAGGATCGTATCGCGTACCATCGCAATACAGATCAAGTCGAGCTCTTCAAAGCCTGTAAATCCTAGCAGGCAGACTGACAACCATCACGACGGTTCATCTCCCCAGCAAAGTGACAGGTGTGATCTCTGTGTGCTCTCAGTCGTCCGGCTATGACAGTTCGCTGACTACCACCTCTGAGGAAGTGGGCGACTCAGACCGGGGCACTGAGGTCGAGGTCCTGCCGTGGAATGTCCAGCCCGCCGAGAACTACCCCCAGGGCCACGACTCGCAGGTGCGTCACGCGAACGCCGCGGCGCCGCCGGGCGGTTTTCGGTGCGACGTTGCAACGCTGGCGCGTCGGCTGCCAGATGGTCGGCGCATTAAGTAGAAGAAAAAAATACAGCAATTGCTGATAGGACTGCTCTCATCAGGCCACAGTACCCTGTGTTGTAGCGACTTCGGTTTTGCACTGCAATAAACACGATTTTTAGTATTTGCGGAGCCATATTTCTTTTAAAGTGGTCATGTCTGGTTGGGTTCTGTTGAAATTGAATTCCAAGAATATCGCTGAAAATAACCTACTCATCACGTATAAGTGCCATGTCTATGACTCACGTCGTGGCCATATTTGCATGTATGGCCACATGATAACCATCCACATGATAACCCGACGAGGAGATGCTCAGAGCGCGCTGGCTATATGATACGTTCAGTGCACTGCAGGGCTGTGACGCCGTGCTCCAGCCATCCACTGGCGAGGCTTCGGGCAAACTGTAGGCCTGTGGGCTGAACGCTCCTGGAATGACTTTCAGCTTGTGGTAATCTCTTCTTCGGGCCGTTACAGACAGAAGATGCTGAGACGACCCACTCATCTGAGCCCCCCTCCAGCATGGACGAGCAGGGGCCAGCCGACGGACCGGTCCAGTTCCGACATGGTACCTTACTCAGCCTTTTATTTTTTATTCTGTTTGTCCCGCACAATCGTTCACACTTCCAATTTTATCGCAAAATTTAAGGCAAGGTGCAGATGATATGCTGCAAAACATGTTTCTGTGGGCAATGTAATGTGTGCGTTTTCAGCACTGTTTCAAGGTTTGATACCTAAGTTTTTATTGATGATGTACGGTTTTCTGCAGATTGGAGCCGAAGATTTGGTATCGGCCACCGCGTTTAAGCGATATGACCAAGAACGTGACGAAGCAATGGTACCTTCCCGTCGTAGCTCTAAGCCCATTCCTTTTTGCTGCAAAACAGAGAATCCACTATAAACGCCTTGGGCTAAAAATCCTCAGTCAATTACGAAATGCCGGAATGAATGGTGTGCATAAAATTATGCCAAAAATAGATGAGCTTGTGAAAGTGTGTGTGACTTTACCTAATGCCAGGCACGTTGTAGACCACACCCTGAGAGCTCATGCAGAGAGGCATCAATAACCCATCTGGAGGCAGCTCCTCCATTTTCACACGCTGAGAATGCTTCACAACTCTCTCCTTTATTACTGTCACAGTAAAATTGTCTCTTAACGTACGTATTAACTTCCATGCGCATCTCGCATGCATAAATGCATCGTCACGGCGTCGTTCTTGTTGCCGCTCGGCGTTAGCTGGGAGCCGAGGACTGGGGATCGCAGACGGGATTCCTGGCGGCGCCGGACGGCGGCTCGTCGGCCGCAGCTCGCCGCCCAGGCCCCGGCTCCAGCTCCCGCAGCGCCACCGAGATGATCTACACCACCAACCTGGCGTGGCAGAACATCGGTCCGACTGGCTGGGGCAGCGGCGGACAGACGCCACCCACGCCCGGCTCTCAGGAGACCCTGCCGCGCGCCCCCCTCTCGGCCGGGTCAAAAAACGCGCGCAGGGCCGCGCCCGCTCACCCTGAGTCTGGAGCGTGGCCCGCGCAGCAAGAGCCCGTCGGCGGCACTCGTCGCACGCCGTCCAGTGGCAGCCAGGGCGGCGGCCCACCCGGCATGGTGTACATGTCGGGCCTGAGTTACTCAGGCGCCGCTCAGTGGCCGCCGTCGCCGGATACGCCGGCCTCGAGCGGCGGCATGGGCACTCAGCTGGCGCCGTCCGCCGCCAGCCAGTCGCAGGAGCAGCTGGGCACACCGGCGCCGGCGGTGACGGCCGGGGCACCACAGTCCGATGGGCTGGCCTACGCCAGCGGCCTCGCGTACGGCGGCGGCCCGGCACCCGGCCAGTGGCCACCCAGCCCGGATACGCCAGGCTCACGAGCCAGCCGCACCTCGTCGGCCGGCGGGCCGCTGGCGCCGCAGGGCGCGCCCGCTCGCTACACGGACGGCCTCCTGTGGAGCGGCGCTCCAGACTGGCCACCCAGTCGAGCCACGCCCAGCCGCTCACTCGAGAAGCACGGCCCGTATGGGCTCTCGTCCGAAGAGCGCATCCGAGGCGTGGCGCAACAGATGATGGCGCGCGTGTCGCAGTCGCGGCCGTCCTCGTCGTCGTCGGTCGGTCCGCCCGGGGGCTACATCCGCGGCCCCGTCAATTGGCCACCGTCGCCACCGACGCCGATGGGCCGCGACAGCGTCATCATCGACTCGGACCGGCAGACGGTGGTGGTGAGGCACGGCGCACCCGGCGCCAAGTACGCCGCCGGTATGGACTGGGCCGGCCCGTCCGCCTGGCCACCCAGCGTGGCAACGCCCGCCTCCCGCGAGTCGGTTGGCGTAGTGCGGGGCAGGTCACGGCCTGGCTCGTCCGTCGCCGCACCGGCCGACCACTCGTCCTCGGAGACGCTCGTCCAGGGTCAGGACGGCAACAGCCCCAGAGAAGGAGACGTCCTGCCATGGAGCATGCGGGTAAGGGGCGAGAAGGGGCTGTTCGGTTTCCCATGCGTGTGGTGGCCTGTGGTACGGGCAGGGGCATGGCGGAAGCATCGCGACGTAGCGGCCCTCTAACAAAGCTGCTAACAACGTGATGACAAAGTACATGCATGGTGGAATCCTCTCGAACATTTATATGACCACCATGATGCAGGTAACATTCTCATCGTAGTGTTGGCTGGCAGCTTCCGATATAGTCAACGCTTCTTCGTCACATACTTTTGAAAGCCGCGAAGTTCAGTTGAATCAAGAGGTTCCACTGATTTATGTGTTTGTGTGGTTCTGACTTCGTTGGATTGCTAAGTTAAATTAAGAGGTTCCACTGATTTGTGTGTGCGTGTGTGGTTCATCGTTGGATTGCTCACGCTTGCGATCCTTGTCTGGCAGCCAGCCTCCAACTACACGGCTCCGACGGACGGCAGCACGTCGACCCCAGTCTCCGGCCTGTACGCGCTGCCGCCCGACGACGACTACGACGGCCCGGCTCCGTACACGGCCGCCAGCCTGCAGCGCATATTCGACCAGGGCACCCCGCACGACGTGCCCAGCGCCTATTTCACGCCCTCCGCAGTACTGCTGCTCGCAGGAGGATTACTATACGCCGGCACAGTCGGCCAACGAGATGATGGCCGAGGCGAGCGACTCCGGAAGCCACAGCCCGGCTCCGGGCGAGCGGGAGCGTACCCCACAACAGGAGCAGAGACAGGAGCAGGAGCACGAACGGCAGCGCGGACAGGAGAGCGACAGGGAGCAGGAGACGCGTGTGCTGGAGCCGGCTGTCTCCTCCGAGGAGCAGGAAGCGCCCTACGCGAAGACACCGAGCGGGCAGAGCATCGACGATGGCGAGCTGGCCCACTACCAGGAGCGTGAGGAGTTCGCATCGCGAGGCCAGCGCCTGATGAGCCGGTACGAGGGTGTGCAACCATGTCTGCCGCGAGAGGCGCTGCAGCGGGGCACCGACGGCGGCTCGGAGCCCTTCTCGTCACCGCGCACTGATGCCAGCGCCCAGTATGAGCCGGCGCAAGGCGAGTATGGCTACCAGCAGTACCCGCAGGGCTACGAGCCGCCGCAGATGTGGTACGGGCACGAACGAGCGTCGCTGCCGTCCGACGCCGGTTCGGAAATTGCGCCCGCCAGCTTACGCCACGTCCGACTACGGCCAGTCACAGGGAGAGTCGGACTATCCGGCCAGCCTGGACGACACGTCCTCGATGGGCGCCTCCACTGAGCTCGGCTATGGCGCGCAGCCGCCGACGCCGGCGATGCTGGCGCCGCCAATCACCGAGGACGAGAACTATGACGGGCCCAGTCCGGATACGACGCGCACGCTGGCAAGTATCTTCGCCGCGGGTACACCGTACGGCGGCCAGGGCTCCGCGGGAGGCGGAGCGCCTCCGGAAGACAGACGCGGCACTGGAGCGCCGCCAGGGGCGTACGAACCGGCGCAGGGCGAGTACGGCTACCAGCGGTACCCGCAGGGCTACGAGCCACCGCAACTGTGGTACGGCCACGAGCGAGCGTCGCTTTCGTCGCAAGGTACCAGCGAGAGATCAGCACCGACCATTGCCCGACCGGACTCATCTGATCAATCTGCATTTGAGGATGCCGAAGATTTCGACTACATGAGCCCAGATACTACGCGCACGCTCGCACGCATACTGGAAGGCGAAACCCCTTACCCGGTGGAGGAGAGCATGGCCAGGCCACCCCCCACTGGCGTCTCAAGAGGTTTTCTGGACGGCGGAGAAGGGTACGAGCCGGCCCAAGGCGAGTACGGATACCAGCGGTACCCGCAGGGGTACGAGCCACCGCAATTGTGGTACGGCCACGAGCGAGCTTCGCTGCCCTCTCCAGGAACAGAGGGCAGAGGGTCCGGCAGTCAGCCGGCCACCGAACCGGCTGCTCTGCCAGATGACTCAAACCTTGATTACGTCAGCCCCGACACTACTCGCACATTAGCGAGAATCTTTCAACAGGGAACACCATATCCTGTTGAAGGCGGGGAGGTTGGTGACCTTGGAGCCTCACCAGAGGGACCTCCATCAGGAGGAGGTCGGGACGGTGGAGAGGGGTACGAGCCAGCCCAGGGGGAGTACGGCTATCAGCGGTACCCGCAGGGGTACGAGCCGCCGCAGATGTGGTACGGTCATGACAGGGCATCGCTTGCGGCTGTGCCATCACAGCAAAAGACAGACCAGGCAAATGCTTCCGCGCCTATCTCTATGGAGACGGAAGATTATGACTTTGTGAGCCCGGACACCACAAAGACGTTAGCTCGCATACTTCAAGGAGAAACACCGTATCCTCTTTCTGGAGAGGCTGGTGGTTCTGGTGTTAGTGAGGGCCCTCCAGGAGGAGGTCAGGTCGGAGGTGAAGGGTACGAGCCAGCCCAGGGAGAGTACGGCTATCAGCGGTATCCGCAGGGGTACGAGCCACCGCAGATGTGGTACGGTCATGACAGGGCATCGCTCCCGGCTGTGCCGTCACAGAAAAAGACAGACCAGGCGCAAAATGCTGCCCCTATCTCTATGGAAACGGAGGATTACGACTTTATGAGCCCGGATACCACGAAAACGTTAGCTCGTATTCTCCAAGGCGAGACACCATATCCTGTTCCTGGAGAGGCTGGCGGTTCTAGTGTTAATGAGGTTCCTGCAGAAGGAATTCAGGTCAGAGAGGAGGGGTACGAGCCAGCACAGGGAGAGTACGGATATCAGCGGTACCCGCAGGGGTACGAGCCACCGCAGATGTGGTACGGCCATGATAAAGCCTCACTTCCGTCACAGCAAGAAGTCGACCAGGCACAAACACAGGGACAAGGTCTTGCTGTCCTGCCCGAAGCCGAAAATTACGACTTTGTGAGCCCGGACACCACCAAGACATTGGCTCGCATATTTCAGGACGGCACTCCATATCCTGTCCCGGGCGAGGTTCCCGATGATGGACCAGGAGGAGGACCACCCGGAGGAGGACCGCCCGGTAGAGGCCCTCCCGCGGGAGGTCCACCCGGAGGAGGCCAGGATGACGCCGAGGGGTACGAACCCGCCCAGGGTGAGTACGGTTACCAGCGGTACCCGCAGGGGTATGAACAGGCACAAATGTGGTACGGCCACGACAGAGCTTCACTTTCGCAGCCAGGGGAACGCAGCAGACAAGCCACGAGTGCCCTATCCGCTCCAGCGCCGGTTCCCGTGGCCGAAGACGAAGACTACGAAAGCATCAGTCCCGACACGACCCGCACGCTGGCACAGATCTTCGAGTCCGGCACCCCGCACAGCGGCCAGGTCCGACCCCAGCATTCGGCTTTGCGCAGCGACCGGGAGGCGGTGCTCATGACGCCCGACAGATGCTCAACCGCAGAAGCTGACGACGATAACCTCGCGGCCACCTGCCAGGACCTGGGCACCTGGTCGGAGACGTCGATCGGCTCGGTAGCGACTCCGCAAGCCAGCCGGAGCGCCGAGTACGTGCCGGCAGCCGGCATGTACGGCTTCCAGCCACCGCTGGGTCCGCCCAGCCGAGGCTCAGTCGAGTACCTGCCCGAGCCGGACGGCACCTACACGCAGGGACTGTGTGCCTTCGCCTGCCCCGACTCTTGGCCGCCGACGCCGCCGACGCCGCGCTCCGAGGAGGATGTGACGTCGGCCGGGGAGGGCGGTCATCAAGTGTCGCCGGCACGCAGGGGGCAGTACATGGAAGGCCTCAACTGGGACGAGGTCAAGAGGTGGCCGCCAACTCCCGAGACGCCCAGCTCTCTGGAGGATGTCCGGCCGTCTGAGGGCACCGGTCCAGGCCGGACCGCGCCCGTTCCACTCAGCCCATACACACAAGGCCTGGTCTGGGACAGTGTGAAGGGGTGGCCGCCCACTCCACCGACGCCCTCCTCCAAGGAGAAGCTGGCACCGGAAGGCGCGCTAGCAACGCCCCTCCAAGAGGGCACTCCGCACGCACCCCACGGCAAGCCACCGTCAGGGTCAGACGGGGAGGGCCACGAGCCGGCTCAGGGTGAGTACGGCTTCCAGCGTTACCCGCAGGGGTACGAGCCGCCGCAAATGTGGTACGGCCACGAGCACGCCTCCATCGCGTCACCGCGCAGCTCGCAGGACCTCGGCAGCCAGGCTGTCTCCTCCGGCGACCCGTCTCCTCGTCTGGACGTGATTCCACGCGACGGCGGCGACTACGAGCCGGCACAGGGTATCTACGGCTTCCAGCGGGTGTTCGCCACTGACGCCAGCGCCGACGCGGCGCAACCAGCCGCTGCCGCCGCCGCTGAGTCGGCCGAGAACTTTGACGGCCCCAGTCCGGACACAAGCCGCAGTCTGGAGCGCATCTTCGAGGCGGGCAGTCCGCACCCGACCGTCGGCGAGCAGCGCACGCTCACGCCGTCGCCGAACCTGCCCGCCTTCCTGGAGAAGCTGACGAGCAGCTCCGAGTCGGAGGACAGCGCCAGCCGGCAGCGGCGTCGGCCGTCCGAGTCGGCGCCGGCCGTGCGAGTGCCACGGAACCGCTTCTACTCGATGGAAGAGATGTGCACAACGGCACCGAGCCCGCCCAATCTGGCCCTTTCCTCCTCGAGCCTGCACGTCACGCGCTCAGTCCGATCCGGTGACCAGCAGTGCTACCTGCCCTGGATGCACCGGGTGAGCAGCCACCTACTTATGAGGTCCCGCGGGGAGAGCTGAGGCTTGCCAGCCATAGCTGATACGTGGATAGGCTCTGAAAACGTCTGGGAGTCCTTGATTGCTGACACAAAGTCGCTCTCTGAACACAACTTAGTGTTCCTAAGTCACGCTTTGTCTTCTGTGAGGTCAAACATGGGGTTCTTCAAGGTTCTCTTTTAACACATCGTATGTTATAAACGAACAATGGAGCAAGCTTTTAAGTCTCTGTAGTATACATATGATTGATGCCGATATTTTAAAGGCACATTTCAACGCCGTCAGATTTGTGAAGAACGGACCATCATGTAGCGGAAGATAGCACACATCCATCCCATTCAGTGCATACTTGGGAGCAGAAATGTAGACAGTGACATTTACGAGACAATAGATCCCCGAGGAAAACAAAACCGTGAAAAGGCGACGCATAACCTGAAAGCTTTTTGATCCAAAGCATCAGTGAATAGAGCTAAAGCCAAGTGTTTGTGCGTGGGGAGGGGGGGGGGGGGTTAAGCTTTAGCCTCTTCCCCACTGAGTAGCAAACTGCACCCCTGCTATACTTTTCTTCGTTATGAACGTAACACAGCCAATAAGGTGGAGTGCTCGTGTGATGTATTATTACGTCATACATGTCGCGGGTGTACTCTCATAAGCTGTGCAAAACAAGAGATCAGAAACAGAAGGATTTGAAACTTTAAAAAAGATATGACTGTAAACTGTGGGGCATGATCATGACAGTGGATATTTCTGCTACCCCCCCCCCCCCCGCACACAAATGTAAAACAACCTCATAAACATACCAGCCCTTTTACAGGCACCAGTTCCGTACAGAAGTCCGCAGACCGCGCAGTTCGTAGATTACCAGGAGCCACCGCTCGTGGACATGGATGACGTGGTAAGTGCTTCCAGCTAAATGCTCAGGTATTCTCTGACGCCGCTTTAGATTAAGCACAAACTGCATACTGCGAAGGTTTCGTCAACGTACGTAAATACATGCAGGTATCATCGCGAACATATCATTATTCAGAACACTGTGGCTAGAATGTACGGCGACTGTCGCGAAGCTGATTGTGGCGAAGCCCTCCAGTGACATAGCCGCGTGGTGTCATTGCAGAGTAGCGTTCCAACGCCCACATCCGACAGATCTCGCCGCTCAGACTCGGACAAGACACAGCCGTCAGAGGTGGGTCAGCTTCATCACGCTATCGTATTCTATGACGCTGGGCGGCGCACGGCCTACTCGACGCGATGACGTCGCGGGGAAGTACACGACACAATGAAATGTGTCCTCAACTATTGTATTTCTGTCCGCACAGTGCGTATCTCCTTGCTTTGGGTTAATACAGACACCCCATAACTACTGTTTTATCGAACACAGTAATGTTCACAGCAGAGACGTCACTCAAACCGTCTCTTCCCGGTCGCTAGCCTCCAGGCGACTACTTCGCGCCGGCGGGCGGCAGCAGCGTGGACACGCCGTCATCTGGGAGGTACGAGCCGCCGCCGGACGCGGCCAGCTACGACGGACCATCGCCCTACACGGCCGCCAGTCTGCAGCGCATCTTCGACGCCAGTACCGGTGGCAAGCAGGTGAGCGAAACCGTCTGTCTGGTCTGACCGGGGAGCATTTAGAGAACAGTTGGGATGAAGGGAGGACGCTGAATGTTACAAAGGAGGCTCAGGATATCGGCGAGATGTTGTATCGTTGGCCTAGCGGTGTTTTTCATGACGCTGTGGGCGATGAAAAACGTTTCATTATATGTTGTTGTCATCAAGAATATTGCTAGCTTATTGAGGAGGAAATATTCCCAAGCTCCAACGCTGAATAACTTCGAAACGTGAGCTTAGTATCTTAAAACGTGACCAGCAGTCCTCAGATAGTTCCCAACTCATATCGAGAAGTTTCTATTTGAAATTAATGGTTTTTCCATTTCCAGCAAGAATCTCCCCTTGCTGGCGAGTCTAAGTCTGTTGAGTCGGCACACAACGACATTGAGGTAATGCCACAGGGCTGCTGCTGCTTCGGTGGCGCAGTCTGTGGATGCGCGTGCGAATGTAGGTGGGAGGTCTACGCGTCAAGCATGACTTCGGTAGACTTCTCTTAGACCAACCAGGCCAACCAGCGCCCACAGCAGTCGGTTCACGGACGTGGTCTGCCTTGAAATAGACCTTTCGGTCCGGCGGTCTTTCCTAAGGGCAGGGCCTCAACTCACGTCACCGAAGCAGTCCTCTGATTCAGTGGACCTGAATAATCGGGATAGTCCCGCGTGTGCGCGAGCGGCACCTGGGGAGCCCGGAAACAAGTATGTAGTCAACACTGTCCCGCAAGGGTGCGGGAAACTAAAACATTTATCATGTTCATAGCAGTAGTGTGATTGCGTGCATGTAACGAGAAAAACCCGTGGGGGGGGGGAGAGGGGTGTCAAAACAAATATTAAAAAGCATCGCAGGGCTCAGTATTGACGTAGGAAGTCTACAATGACATGTCCGCATGAATATCCGTCAAGGACCAGTCCCTAACAGTCGGAATGAAACTGAATAAATCCCTCAAATCGTGCCTTTTTGGTTACTTCCCTGTTAGCCATCGTCGCCACCACGCATACCAAGCTCATGACCGGTCTCGCGCCACCCGCCTGCAGGACATGCTGCAGCGTCTCCGCTCTCTCGAGTCTCGGCTACACTCTGTGGAGGATGAGTCGCAGAGCAAGGACCGCCAGATCCAGGATCTGCTCTCGAGGCTAGAGGGTCTGCTGACTTCTGGCGGTGCCGACGGGCAGAGCGACCTAAACGAGCGACTCCAGGTCCGGTTAGGGAGGAGGCACCCGTCAAAGTCGGCCGGGGGTGGGGTTGGGGGAGGGGTGCTAGGAAAACTAGGTACATATGAAAACTGTTAGTCGGTGATGCATCACTTTGTCGCATCGCCTTAACACGCGCTCGGGTGGGGAGTGGGAGTCAAATTGACCCCCCCAAAGGTTTTTCCAGAATAGTTTCCGAACGGCGTGGCGCAGCCACGCCAATTTTTGCATAGCTGTAGACAATTGAATAGCAGATCGCTTGGCATAAAACATTTAGATAGCCATTGTAAGTTCGCTGACCTACGGCAGGTCAAAGTCAGGCCATAGTTTCAGCGAAGTCAGTTTCTAGGGAATCGTTCAATCTGGTGCAACAGCGGAGTGTTAGACGAAGCCATACATCTCTGAGATACTCTTTTAGGCAACACAAATATTTAATGATAAAATTATGTTGACCTAAGGTCAGGTATAAGCTTCAGACGGAGGTCAAAACCAACCTGCTTTATTACTTTAGGGCTTGCTGTGTGGGTTAGTTTCTGGTGCTCATTTTGAATTTGCTGATAGCAGGAACCGCATTATACATCTTCCATGAACTTCTTAGAGGTTAAAATAGGTCATTGACCTGAAATAACCCAGGTCAGCATTTTTTAAAATGGGAACATACTGCCTGGCGTAATCTTTGTCGGTTATTCAAATGCAATACCCAGTGCAATCTTGTATGATTTTGGTCACCATGACCTTCAAAGATCAAAAAAGGTCACTGACCTTGGCTGAGCATGTGACCTTTTGCTTAGAAACAGATGTCTAAGTTCTGGGGGCACTTCGGAGACTAACTTGGAGTTTGACCTTGTTTGAATTTGTTTGACACAAATATCATGACCTCTGAACCCCAAACTTTGACCTAAGTGAGTTAATATACAGGTCGACACACTGCAAGTTTGGTGTTTCTAGCTCTTTTAGTTCCCGAGATCTCAGGGGGGGGGGGGGTCAAATTGACCTCCCACTCGAACGAAGGGTATCCAGCCGGCCGCCCGGGCGCGTGTTTAATTCGGACATGGTATTTGAGAGACAGAATGAGCTGGCACCCAGCATCTGACTGGTCACTTGTACCAACGATGCTCGTTTTTTGCACCACAGTCGGCGACCGAGACCGTTGCCAAGCTCGAAGAAACTGAGGGCAAGCTCGAAAAGGAATTGGCGGACGCCAAAAAAGAGATCGACAGCTATGTTGCTAAGTTGGAGGTATAAGCTTGACGTATATGCCACGCATCTGACTCAGTACATCTGCTAGTAATGTTTGATACGCTAATCTAGTGTAAAGCGTATATGAATATTCACTGCTGTCAAAATGCACGAATCTCTCAGTTCCATGAATAACCCACCTATTCTCATTCCGCGCGGCTCGCACGGAGTCGGAATCCCATGATATGAGAATGTCAACTGGACTGTGACGGCGTCTTGGCATGGGGAGTGAGCCTACCAGCGTCCGTGCGACGTTTAACACCTACTGACATGCTCGTTGGTCATCTGCCGGGACAGATAACATCCCGCTGACACCATCGCTGGTCGCCTGCCGTGACCGATGACGCCCTGCTGACACCATCGTTGATCGCCTGCCGTGACCGATGACACCCTGCTGACGCCATCGTTGATCGCCTGCCGCGCAGTCGTACCAGGGCCGTTCTGAGGAGATTGAGATGCGCCTGGCCGAGTCGCAGCGACTGCAGGCGGCTGGTGACCAGCAGCTGCAGGAACTGGCGCAGCAGTGCGGCCAGCTGGCGGCCGAGCGAGACCAGTTGGCGCGACAGCTAGAGGAGAGCGCCGCCATCGTCACGGAGAAGGAGGCGCGCGTTGACCAGCTGGTGCAGCAGCTGCAGGAGTACAGGTGAGTCTCTGTCAGTTGCAGATAAACGCCATTTGGGGTGATGATGTTGGGGAAGGGACAAGTTCGTGGGATAAGGTGCAAACGCCACTGAGATACGAAATTGCTCATCATTACGTTTTTTGTGCAGTCGGCTGTCATTATATACCAATGCGCAGTCACTTAACGGCTAATTTTTGGTTTCAGTGCTACAGGTCACTTAGACTTGCTGCCTTTAGGACGTGGTGCAGCCATCAACTTCACTCCTGTCATAGCTATCAACATGCTAATAACGTCGGTGTCTTCCTCAGCGACCGTGTGGCGCAACTGGAAGCAGATCTGAAGGATGGTGTTGTGCCAGCCGACTCGGCCGACATCGCCGCCGAGAACCAATATCTCCGAAATCGGGTGGAGGAATTGGAGCAGGGGCAGCAAACCGAGGAACAGTGGAAAGAACAGGTACGTCTGAATTTGAATTCAAGGTTTAGTGACACGGTGCACTCTGCACTTGGGTCTTAGAGTAGAATAACATACATACATCAGATTGCAATAGCCAAAACAGCGTGCATCAGTTTGCAGCAAGATACAACAGGCGTAACAACTATACTAGCGCGAATTCTAATGAATTTTGCAACCTGTCGTATTACATTCAACTTCGAGATTAAGATCAAGCGTGCATCCTAGCATTAACTAAGACCCACGACCTGAAAGAGGATCTCCTTATATCCATAAATGCAAACTTCAAGCTTAACAGAACATTCTTGGGTTGTTTATTCGTGCAAGCTTTTCAGGATGTGTTAAAATGCGTAGTTTAGTTTATTTCGATCCGATCGCCATCCAACTACAGCGTGGCTCAGCTCTCGACATCTCAGCGGCAGGGGAGCGGTGGGTAAGCTGACATCGAACCACACTCAGGCTGAGGAAGCGGACGAGCGCGCCCGGGCGATGGAGAAGGCACTGGACCAGCTAGCCTCGGAGAAGCGGACGGAGGAGGAGCGGCGCCGAGAGGTTGAGACGCAGCTGGTGCAGATGGTGCGCAAGACGTCAGTGGCGCGTGTCACCGCCTCCGAGGATGACACATCCGCCACTGAGGAGAGCAGCGCCGACGACCTGTTGGACCCGCAGCTGTGCCGCCGGCTGCAGCAGCTGCTGGACAAGCTGCATGGCCAGGGTCTACAGGTGAGCCGTACAGACTGCTGCAATGGTGGGCGGAGTTACAGTTAGGCAAAATGAGTTGGAAGACTTAGCAGTGAAAAATTGCGCAACTCGCTCCAAAAGTGCGCCAACAAACGGAGTTTTCTCGTATTCGACCCACTTTTCTCGCAAAGTTAGGGGAGGGGCTGGAGCACAAGTTGGGTGCTGAGGTCCAACGTAGGGGGGGAGGGGCGGGGGGGGGGGGGCGGAAGCCTCCCCAACTCCCAACGTGATAGGAAACTTAACCCCTGTCGGTAGGTGCAAAGTGTTAATGCTCCAAGTAATTAGAGAGTCTAACACAGCTCCTGCAATATAACTTTTGATTGATGTAATTGTAATTTATGCTTGCGGTACACATACATTGATATTGCAGTGGTTTGTGGTTGACGCTGTTTAGGTTTTCCCGCTTGCTGGGCCATAGAAGGTTTCTTAGGATGCCTTTATGTGCCGTAATGATATATATATATATATATATATATATATATATATATATATTGATGCACACACATATTCATATATCTGTATATACACATATACAACTGAAAGTGGAAACATATATATATATATATATATATATATATATATATATATATACAACCACATGACTGATGGTGGATTAGTTGCGGTAAGTGATAGCTCTGTTTGGATAACCTAATTAGTAGTGCTAACATGCTGCGTACTGTACTTCTATGCTATCGCATTCTACATCGCCCTCCAATGTAAACTCTCACATGCAGCGCTTGTATGACACTTATCTGACCTCACATGATCACGAATACGTGTGTAAGTGCGCGACGTCATAGTATACACACTAAGCACCATCTTATACACTCGACTAAATCGTCGTCGACACATTTTTGAGCAAGACTGCTACCGCATACGTGTTAGACTCGCTGCGGTGTGATTCGTTGGTGCTTCCTTACAATGCCAGTAATTAAATGCCTATCATTTCACATAGATAAGAGAGCAGTAAGACATTTCACATAGTAAGACAGTTTACTTCTGTCTTTTCTGCGTCAATAATGTTCCTCGCAAATGCACTTGCCAACTTACGTAGACTATGAATTCAACAGAACTGCAGGAGAGCCTTCGAACGTTTTCCGCGAACCCCAGACACCTATGACGGCATCTGTTTTTGCCGTCGCTTGTCTGGACACCTCAGCCTAATGGGAGCATGCCACCGGCCGGCAGGCGCTCAACTTAGTGGAGCTGCGCTTTGTAAAGGCGTACGCCACGCCGAGTCAGCTGACGCCGCGAGCGCTACCGGCCGAGGCGGCCGTCCATGTGTCGGACATGGACACGGCCACCCTGCAGCGGGCCTTGGCACGGTTGGCCGACGAACTGGGCAACGCCGAACAGGAAATGAACGCCAAGGGTGCGTTCCAAGAAGAGGCCATCGAGGGAGAGCTGGTTCGGAAGCGGGCCCGCTCGTTTCAAAATGCACGCACACACACACACTAAACGGGACATGAGTATGGCTGGAGCTATCTTCCATAGAATAGCATGACATGACGGTTCGATTGCACATGTATGTTCAATCAACACACACACAGCCGAATTTTACGTGTGATGTAAATGCATGAACAAGTCTATCTGAGCTCATTTGTCAGTGAGTCGACACGGGTAATGTTGAATCAGTGAGCCCATGATCGACGGCAAAATAGGGCCCTTCCGTAAGTGTGAGCTTGCGTATCGATATGCCTGAGGAGTGCTGTACCTGGCCTGCCTGAGATATGCTGCACCCGGTCTGCCTGAGGTGTGCTGTACCCGGTCTGCCTGAGGTATGCTGTACCCGGTCTGCCTGGGGTGTGCTGTACCCGGTCTGCCTGAGGTGTGCCTGTACCCGGTCTGCCTGAGGTATGCTGTACCCGGTATGCCCGAGGTGTGCTGTACCCGGTCTGCCTGAGGTGTGCTGTACCCGGTCTGCCTGAGGTATGCTGTACCCGGTCTGCCTGAGGATAACTGTACCCGGTCTGCCTGAGGTATGCTGTACCCGGTCTGCCGGAGGTATGCTGTACCCGGTCTGTCTGAGGGGTGCTGTACCCGGTCTGCCGCAGTGAAGCAGCTGGCCGTCAGCCTGCAGGAGGAGACAGGTCTGGTGCAGGAGCTGCAGACGACGCTGGAGGCAGAGCACCAGACCAAGCTGACGCTGACTGAGCGGCTGAGCGAGACGCGCACGGCCAGCGGCGCGCTCGAGACGGAGCTGACGCAGTTACAGGGGCGGCTGCGCGGTGCCGACGAGCGGCCCGACAAAGCCCGGTCAGACGCGGACACCCGGCTGCGCGAGTTCGCCGCCGCCAAGACGGCTACCCAGCAGCTCGTGGAGCGCGAGCAGAAGATAATGCAGGCAAGTGGGGGGCCTACAGAGGGCGCTGATTGCAGCAGTTGGCAACGGAAGATAATAGAACAACAAAGGCATGTGCTAACTCATCAGAGGTGACGTAAGCATATGCATAATATCTTGTTCCGTACCCAGTGCGATTCTGCACCATTCTGCTTGACATTCTTCACTACTGTTTTCGGAAGCTTTGGCTGCCTCCTTAAACACACATTTCGATAATACTCTTCTTTCGTCTTCATTCACGTCGAACGTCGTACCTCTACCGATGTAAGCCGACTGTTTTTGTGTCGATCGCAGGAGCTGATCCGCACAACCGACGCCGGCTGCAAGGACCTTGCGCGGGTGATGACGTGCCTAGCCAAGCTGGACGGGGCCGGCGACCAGATTGTCGAGCTGTGTGCCGACCCGGGCAACCAGAGCGCCGTCAAGCGGCTGGCGGAGGAACTGCTGGCAGAGCAACAGCGCTGTCGCGACATGCTGGCTTGTCTGGAGTGCGAGCGCGGCCGTGCGGGTCAGCTGTCGCAAGAGCTGGACCAGGGGCGCGCCCAGGCCCAGGCCGACGGCAAGACATCAGAGCAGCTGGGACAGCGTGTCTCCGAGCTGGAGCAGCGCTCAGAGAAGCTCAGGAAACAGGTACGCCGCTCCCCTACCACACCGCATTTCTGGGCATTCAGACCACCTCGATAATACCTGCCGGGCTTACTTCTTTTTGGCATGTTTAAGTATTAATTGAGACCGTGGCGAGATATCTCCTGGTCTGACATATCTCTTTTGATTCCACTCATAGAAAGCACCTTTTTGTTCGATGAAACCCGCGTTTTTTTGCCCCCAAGTAAGTCACTTCCGACGTCCACACTTGTATTCATCCTCTCTCCACAAACACACACACTCACACACACACATCAGTTCATCAGCTGCAAAATGCCCCTCTGACTCCTTGCGGCCGTGCAGACAGATGCGGCGTGCGCTGAGGCGCAGGAAGCGGGCACCGACGACCAGGCGCCGCTGGAGGCCCAAGTGAAGCGGCTGCTGCAGGAGTTGCGGCAGGTGCAGGGAGCCCGCCAGAAGGCAGCAGATGACGTGCAGAAGCCGGCGGCTGAGCTCAGCCAGCTGACGGCAGACTTGCGTCTCTCGGCCGCCGACGCTCTCACCACGGTCAGCCGCGCGAGCACGCCGCCTTCCGCGGCGGACACCTGCGGGCCCAGGGAGGCAGACGCCTGGCGCGATCGCATGATGGGATCGGATGGGGCATTAGATAACGGGTGCACTTGGGTTCAAAGAAGAGCCGCCATACATGGGTTTATTAGGATTGGTGCTTAGCTCGTGGGAAGAAACTGAACTGTGTGTCACCTCTAAGTTTCACATTAGGCGATTGTAGAAGTGCCGCAGTAAGCATCTCAGATGATAGAACTGTTCAGTACTGCGATGGCAGATGATAGAACTGTACCAATCTGCGACCGCCGTTTTGTTTCATGCATCGTCATAACTAACATCCTACAGCAGACGAGATTTCATCACCTAAATGACATTCAGTGGCGTGTGTTCGACGATCCGGCTCGGCACGTGACTCTGGGCGCTCTGTGACGCAGGTCGCCGCCATCGTGGACACGAACGTGGACGCCGAGCGGATCCGGACCCGGATCATTCAGCTGGGTACCGAGCTGGCTGGCCGGGACGTGTCACCTCCCTCCGCTCCTGCCCCGCCGCCGCCGCTCCCGCCCATCGCTCCCCCCGCCCCTGCCGCGCCGGCCCCGGTTGCCGCCATCGCCGCTCCGGCCCCGGTTGCGCCCGCCCCCCAGCCTCCTGCGCCGTCGGCGGGTGACGAGGAGGCCCGCGCCCGCTGGCAGGCGCAGCTGGAGTCGGAGCGCGCCCAGTGGGGGCAGGAGCGCTCGCTGCTGGAGGCGCACATCGCGCAGCTGGATGCCGAGCTAGAGCGGCTGCGACTCTCGGAGCGGCCGGCCGTGCTGCCACTGCAGGGCGCCGGGGACGATGGTCGCGTCCAGGAGGCGCACAGCCGCTACCTGCGCGCCGAGAGCTACCGACGCGCACTCTGCTGGCAGAAGCGTTACCTCATGATCCTGCTAGGCGGCTACCAGGAGACAGAGACGATGAC